GCCTGGTTTGTAAAGCAAGTGAAGCCTGAAATACTGAGCAGTCCTCAGAGGTTTTTGTTTTAAGACCTGCCCTCAAAAGAATGCTTTCAAAATATCTTGTTTACTTGCTTAATCTCATCAGAAGGCACCTAAAGCTTATGCATACACACTTTTTGATGCCAAGGTTGATTGACATGCCACACAGCTCAAAGTAAGCAGGTTTTTACAACAGAAAATTGTCGTCAACATTAGTCAACTCGTTTGTTTACCTTGCTACTAAATTGTAGCTTGTGTGCTCCTGTTTTGCCTTGGCCTGCTCACTTTCCCTTAGGTGCAATTCTGCTTCTGAACTCTGTGTTTTCCTGGTCATTGCTAAACAAACCTTGCTTTAGACTTGAGCTTTTGTAGCTATCACTAAAAAATTGAAAAATCTTGTAAGAGTCCCTAGCGTGTATTGTCCGCAAAGTTATTAAATTGGACATTTTCCTCTGTGGTACAAGTCCCACTATATACTTATTCCTGAGTGAAAAATATGTACAGTTACAGCTTATGTTCTTTCAATTCTTAACAGTGCGTTTGCCCAGTATAACATGGATCAGTTCACTCCGGTGAAGATAGAAGGGTATGATGATCAGGTACGAAAGTTTGTTTTATACACTATAGAGACTTGTATGGCCTCACTGTGCAAAAGTGATAAGTCTTCCTAAAGAACTTGTAAGTTGTGGGTAGCATGAAACTAGTCATCTCTCCTCCCTCCCCCCCCCCATCCTTATATTACCAAACTTTTGTCCTTGTGGAAGACAAGAACCTTAAGCTAAATAGATTCAACACTACTGTAACAGTCTTCTGTTCCAGAAATGGCTGTAAGTGCAATATTACAGTGAAGAGCCAGAGAACTTACCTACAGTCTCACCACAACTACTCTGTACTTAACTGAAATTACTACTAAGGGTCCTTGTTTCTTTACATGATGTTAGAGCTCAGTAAAATAATCGATTGAGACAAATATCTATTCAATTAGTCCAGAAGAAACCCAAAATGCCATGTTTATAGCAGTGTAAGAGCTTCTTAATTTCAACTGTTTATTTTCCAGGTCTTAATCACAGAACATGGCGATCTGGGCAATGGCAGATTTTTAGACCCAAGAAACAAGCTTTCTTTTAAGTTTGATCACTTAAGGAAAGAAGCAAGCGACCCCCAGCCTGAGGACACAGAAGCAGCTTTAAAATCATGGAGAGATGCCTGTGACAGTGCATTGAGAGCATATGTGAAAGATCATTACCCCAATGGCTTCTGTACTGTTGAGTATCCGTCTTGTTTCATTGAAAACTTTGCTTCATGTCAATGAGTACCTTAAAGGGACTTTGTACTGGGCAGTGCTGCTTGAATTGTCCACCTTCGCTAACATCTGTATTGTTTTTCCTAATTTTGGAACAACGAAGTCCAAAAAAGGGCACAAGTATCTTGATGTGCACACAGGGGTAAAGGTTTATTACGTCTTATTTGCTCAGAGGCATGACTGCAAAGCACCTTAACATCTGCAGTTAAGAAAGAGGAGGCACAGTTTGCACATGTGCGGTGCAGGCGTTGGGCAAGTTAGCTAGTGGTACATGTGCCCAGTGACATAGCACAACACCAAGCCTCCTCAGTGCTGTCAAGAACAGAAAATAGCTCTCCTCAGCTCTTGTGGTGTGTATTACAGAGCCTGTTTTAACTTTTTCTAAATACAGGTTTATGGTAAATCTATAGATGGGCAGCAGACAATTATTGCCTGTATTGAGAGCCACCAGTTCCAGCCCAAAAACTTTTGGTAAGACTATTTAAACATATTGTATTTTCTTCCTTTCCTAGACCTCAAACACAAACTCCTCCTCTGTCTGGCTCTGACAGGTCTGAAAGCCAAGTAGTCTTGGGCTTCCCGATCAATTCTGCTTCTTGTGCTCTGTTTTCCATGCAGAGCCCTTGTCACTTCCCTAAAGGCCCTAGTGTAGCTCAATGACCTATCCAGAGAGGAAAATATTAGCAGAGCCAGATAGTTATGCCCTTACATGTTCCTGAGCACAAGTACACCAGAGCCAGTGGGAAGCTTCATTGTCTTGAACTGTGCCTCAGGAATGGAATTCAGTGCCATATAAGGGACCTTAACGTTGATCACAAAGCAACGGGAAGACAACAGAATCAGCATGCTCCTCTTGATTTGGCTCTTTGTTGTTAGAGCTTATTGCAAATACAGGTCTCATGGTTTGGTTGTTTTTAGGAATGGTCGTTGGAGATCAGAATGGAAGTTTACCATCACACCACCAACAGCTCAGGTGGCTGCTGTGCTCAAGATTCAGGTGAGTTACACTGCCTGGCAGTAACTGAAGAAGCTACATTGCTGCTTCTTTCATACTGATGTGTTTGACTCCAAAATGAGATGCTGAAATACAGTGAAGATGTCCTTTTAGAATCAAGATGCTGTTAAACTATACAAGTCCATAAATTAATCCTTAAAACTTTAGCATTTTAAACACTGCCTAAAATCTGGCCTGTGGTTTAATACGTAGCATTACCCTATATGCCTCCAAGTCTGCTTCGCTTTATAGGGCTAAAAACTATACCATGAATTCTTTTGTAATTGCTCTTATTTCAACTCTAGGCGTTTACTGCATTAACATAATCTTGAACAGGCTTGACAAAGAATGAAACCTTTTAGAAAATCCATCCTGCTTTTAGTCTCCACGTAAGCAGAGAAGACTGGCACAACAATGCTGTTGTGCCATTCTGGTAGCATTTGGGGGCTCTAGGGTTTATAAAATGAGTGTTAATGATAACCTGTATTTTGTCTGTCTTTATTCAGGTTCATTATTATGAAGATGGTAATGTGCAACTCGTTAGTCATAAAGATATCCAGGACTCTGTGCAGGTTTCAGTAAGTATGATACAAGATTTTTATGATAAAGCAACCATTTTCTTTCTTAAAGATCTCACCAAAAGTACACTTCTATGACTACACTGTCTTGACTCTAAGAAAAAGAATGTCACTTTAGGGAAAGCAGTCTATGCAACTGTAGCGTTCAGAGTGACATGAGAAACCCAGGCTCTGTTTAAAGTTACTATGTTAAATGTTAATTGCCTCTTGCACAGTTTATCACGCAAGCTTCAGTTAGAGGAACAGAATATGCCTTTCTGTCTACATGCAAGGGAAAAACAGTACAAACTGTGCACTGAGAATAATTAGTCCTGTAGTGACAGCAGAGGGAGCAATAGTCTCAAAATCCCTATTTACACCATGAAGGTCTACTTCCTTTTACTCACACTAGGTTGCAGCCCTGTTTCAGTTTGGAGCAGAAGTTCTAGCTAAAATATACTTATCTTGCACACCAAGTCATGTCCATAATAACTAAAAAGGAACCCTGCTACAAACAGGTGGTGAAAGCTGCTGATACTGTCCACTTCATGTATACACAAGCTGTTACGTGAGAAGAACTATATTGAGTCACTTATGTTTTTACACGTAAAAATACATTTTTCTCCTTTGTTCTGTAGAGTGATGTCCAGACAGCTAAGGAATTTATTAAGATAATAGAAAATGCAGAAAACGAGTACCAGGTAAGATCAGACATTGTTAAAAATAAGTGTGATGGAATCTTACCAATGTCCATTTACAGTTATCAGAAACATGGAAAATAGACCACTAATTCTGTTTCTAACTTAATATGGTATTGACTGTAAGAATTACTTAGGAAAGAGCAGTTGTACTTGTTGACAGAGTATTATTAGCAATGCATAGCTTCAATACTAAAGCTTGCCACGTAGTTATTTTAAAGCATTACAAATGATGGAGCAAGCATAAAAGGGGAGTGGGGAAGTCTAAATGCTTTCCTCCATTGTTGTTGGTATTGAAAAATACCAACGAGGAAATCTGTGCGACAGCTTTTTACATTGTCCCAGCCCATGTGCAGGAAGGAGACTTGATGCAAATAAGTCAGTCAGATGCCTAAGGAGGAACATTCTCAGAAGAGTAACAGAAACACTTTTTCTTGTGCACACACACCAGTGACATTGCATTATTAATTAACTGGTAGTGTGCCTTCCCCTTATAGAAAGGGTGCTGTGGCTTTAACACCAAGTCATGCATTTTCAGAGTATTCTGTTACCACTGTAATTGAACCCACTTGCCATTACAGACAGCAATCAGTGAAAACTACCAGACTATGTCAGACACCACATTCAAAGCCTTACGCCGGCAGCTACCTGTCACCCGCACCAAGATCGACTGGAACAAAATCCTCAGCTACAAGATTGGCAAAGAAATGCAGAACGCTTAACGCAGGAATTATGAGATTTATGAAATGTTTGTGTGCAAAAAGAACACAAAAAAATGTGATCTTATGCCAAGTAGATGGTTTCTAAAGCAGTGCAGCATTTTTCTAGGGCTTTCAAAGTTAACAGGTTTTCTAGCCTCAGAGAACTGTGGAACGAATAGCATTGTCTTTGTGTTTTGTGTTCCCCACCATTTAAACTTCCTATTGTGACTGCATTTACTGGTAGGTCATTTTAATTGAGTCACATTCATGGTTCAGAAATATAGCTGTTTTCAATCACTGTAATTGTACCGGTTGGAAAACTTCCTAGCTGCAAAAGCCCTATAATAAATACAGCTGAGGGTGCAGAGCATTCCCCTTCACCCATATACAGCACTCCAGGTACTTCAGTAAGTTTGTCAAATCTGCCAACAGCTCAAGGCGCTATGCTGCAAGGTATAATAAATGCAAAAGACAGTAAGTTCTCCCATGTATCCTTACTACTGACCTCCACAAAGCAAAGAGCCTATAGGCTTAGACTTTACTATATGAAATGAGTTTACAAGATCCTTTACAGAAATCCCTACACAGTCAGCTCTTCCAGGGGTGTAGTTTTTTTAGTCTGAAGATTTGAGCCATGTTCCCTGTAAGTGAACATTTTTGCTGTCCCCCCCCTCATGTATGTACGGTTCTCAGACATCTGCATTTTTATAGAACTACATTTTTTGTTGTATGGATCACTGCTGATCCCTTTAGTCTGGATGAAGATTAAAAATGCAAATGTCTACAGAAAAATAGGTATGTTGTGCTTTAATGCTTTGTGGCAGGTTCCTAGAATTTGTATCACAGGTGTATGAATGAATAGTGTACAAAATGATAAATAAACTTGCACCAAAGCAAGAGAAAAAACCTTTCCGTTTTGTCTCTATTGTGGCCAGTTTCTTCTTACACTTAATGGGGATGCTGGGCTTAATCTCTTCACTGCTCTCTAAAAGCTTGCTCTGTTGCTTTGTTTGTCTGTAAAAGCAAGAGAAACTGCTTCAGACTGCTACTTTTAACAGGAGGTTGGAGGGGCACGTGGATACTTTCTCAGTCAGAACTCAAAACGTGAATTCACTGTAAGATGAAGCCCCTGTGGTTAATTCCCTTTGCTTTGTTTACATTTGTTTCTCACTTGGCCTTTTTGCAGGTTGCTTTTTAAATTGGGTGGTGTCTTCCTATTTTTACATACACAAGGAAGGGGGATTGGAAAGATAGGGGTGGGGCTGCTTGTGCATTACACTTTAGGTTTTGCACAGTAATACCACAATATAAGCGTGTCAGTGTTCTGAGAAATTTTGTCCGAATGTTTGTATTTGCTGTTAAGACTGACCGTTCATCCTACAGGCATCCTCTGTATCAAATAGTCTAGTAGAAATACACCAGTCTTTGTTTTAAAGCCATTTGTGTCTGTCCTTTTTGGTCTCACTTCTGTAGATTCCTGATCACGGTAGAACTGCAGGTGATATCATAAGCAGCCTGAAAGTTGGAATGGTACTGCTTGCAAAGTTACACTTAAGTTAAAAGTAAAAATAGTCACGTGGCTCCAATCATGACACGCTTGACCCTGGGAAAACACAGCAGACAAGGTTACTTCACTAATCATGTATATCTCATTATAGCACCTACATAGCTTCATAGCGTTTAACAACTTGAGTAAAAAAGTAACTGCTGGATACATCCTATGTCAGGGGCATTGGACAAAGCAAGACTTGTCCTGTTCTGGTCAGTTTTGCACACTGCTGTGCTAAGAGCGCTACTCAGGCTAGTGCTTCTGCCACTGGATGTTTGTAAAAAGTATTTCCTCCCTGCTATTCCTAGAAGAAATGAAACGCTATGAACATGAGCACCTAAGCAGCTGTAGTCTATGTGGCTACAGTCCCATCCAGACAAGCATTGCAGCAATTCCAGGAATGTGAGACTGAAGCAGGGCCCAAGATAAAAGCTCTGTTGTGCGCACACAGTGTTATCTTCCAGCACTGCCTAAGCCACAAGGCTAGTCTTTCCTTGCTCCAAGTTAGTTGCACTGCACATAGTTCCCACCACTTGTTCCAACCTTAAGACAGTCTCTCTCTTCTCCTTTCTCTGAATCTTTAGCTAATCATTCTTTAGGGCCAACTCATTCCCTGTTACCTCCTCACCTTTCTCCTGTATTGTCCTTTGCTACAGCAAAGGCTCCGGTGATCTAGCTGATCCTAGCTCCGGTGATCTAGCTGATCCTAGCTCCTCCCCAGCTCCTATTTCTTCCTTGGAGAAACAAAACTTGACACAGCCCAGTTACTGCCACATTACACAAAGACATTACACAAGTGCAAGCGGTGACACATACCTAAGGCATTTTAATCTTTAAAATCTTCAGCTATTCTCTGCTTGAAATCAGAAGTTTTACATAAGAGTAAAGCCAGCTAGAGAACAATATATGTTCTGGGCTGGTCTTGCCAAGGTGTACCAAAGCCAATGCCTTTTTTAAACAGGCAGCATGAACCCAGTTCTGTTACAGTGCAAAGGCATGGTAATTTGACTGACTCAAGGAAGCTGAGTGAAACATAGCTTTCCCATCCCAGTCCTGGGGAAAGGATCCCTGCTGGCCCCAAGGACATCCACTGGGCTACCCAGTTGACTGCAATGATAAGAGCTCCTCTATCTGCTTGCAAGAGCAAAGCTTAAAGTTCCAAGACTCCACCTGTAATGTGTGACATATACAGAGGAGAAAGTGATTTTGTAAACTCCAGAGGCTGCAAAACACAGAGTTTTTAAATAAGTACACAGAACACTAGAACAGGACTCAGATGCCCATGTTATTTTCCTACCTATGCCCCATTTTCTACAGCCCCTAGATAGGATAGTGATCCTGACTTCTTTTGTAAAGCACTCCGAGAGCTGATGAAGGAGCAAAAGGGCCTTGGAGTTTATTGCTGCTTTTCTAGCTTGCACATACAAGGCTGAAAATCAGGTTTAACTACAAACACCATCTTTCAGAAAAAAAAGCAACTCATGCAGAGGAAGTCACATGCAGGTTATTTGAGTCTCAGCACTCAAACTCATAGCACACCCTTGCCCAGGGTACAGGCAGTGGTTTCAGAAGCAGCTTAGAGCCCTCACACCACCTGCAAGGGGGTCACACACCACCACAGCCTGCTGAGCCTCTTCCAGACAGCAGCAGGACAGCAGTAGTGCTTCAGTCAGAGGAAAAGCCCACTGGAACTAAAGCAGTAAAAATAACAAACTTACCTCAACATCCTTCAGCTACAGGCAAGCCAAAAATCAACCCATTAAGTAGCACTGCAGGCAATCCCAGGGCCTTCAGCCACTTCACAGAAGCAGGTCAGAGACCACCATCCACACTGAGCAGGCTGGAGATTTAAAGCACAGGAAATCAGGGCAGAGCCAAACATAGAAAGCAGCTTTTGCCACTGCTGTCCTATTTATAGGGCAGCAGCGTGGTGCTCTGGGAGCTCTTATCCCTCATTATTGGCTACAGCAATGCAATGCACCTGGGCACCATGTCTCCAGCCAGTAAGAAGCCTCAGCAGCTGCTTTGAGCTTGCAGTGCCTAGTTGCCCTCCCTAGGGACAATTAGTGCCATGGCTCTAGGCCCAAGCTGACCAAATAACCTAGACTTTGACACTTGGCAGCTCTGCTTTCCCAGGTCCCTGCAAACACTTCTCAGCTTGGGCCTGCGTCTATTACTTTTTGGGTAGCCCCAAGAGCAGGGAGGATGTGAACCCCTGCAGGTAGCCCAGCTCCCTGGGGCATGCCAGCCTGCCCCAGCCCCCTCTGCGTGCTGCCGGGGCAGTTCACGTCAGAGGTGAATCGCCCAGCTGGATTCCTCTGTTCACGCTCCGGAACAGGGGACCCGTGGCTGGCCTGGGAGCAGGGAGCCCCCAGAGCGATGGGACCGGGCTGCCAGGCATGGGGAACCCCCGGAGCAGGGGGGTCTGGGCGTGGGGAGCCCCCGGAGCAGGGGG